AGTCGCGCACAGGCTGTGGAGGTGGGGGACAGGGATGCCCCGTGAAGGCCCAGGAGGTTGTGGCACACCTGAGTGTGGAATGAGGCCCTGTGGGGCACAGCGCAGGGGAGCCTTGGTCACGCACTGCATTTGCATTTCCACGGTGACTGCTGAGCAAGGATATTCTTCCCTGATGTTTGTACACACGTCTTTTCTGTTTCTTCTTTTATGGAATTTTCATTCATGTCCTTGCCAATTTTTTTTACTGGAGTGATTTTTCTTCTGTGTTCAGGCACAGTAAGTATTTCTGTTTCTGATATTGCAGGTATTTCCCTCCAAATTGTTTTTTCTTTTTGTCTCTTTAAGGAGGTTTTAACATAGTTTTATACTTTTAAGTAGTGAACTATATTAGTCTAATTTGTTATATTAAGATTTTTATTTATTTTTATTTTTTAAATTTTTTAATTTTATTTAAAATTTTTTTGTTGTTTTTGGATATTAAGATTTCTAATTTACCTGGAGAGTTTTTGAGATATTATTGGGGTTGCCAGTCATTCTTAACACTACGTGGAATGTTCCATTTTTACTATTAATGCACTGCCTTAAAATCCTCCCTTAACTTCGCACTTACGAGAAGTCACAAACAGTCGAAAGCGCTCCTGTTTCCCTCTTGCCAGAGTTCCTCAGTTGCTGACATTTTCTGTACTGGCCTCACCATGTTTCTTCCCACCCTCCCACGTGTGCTTTTTCTCGACTCGCTTGAGAGTGAGTTGCAGGGAGACCGACTGTTTACCTCTAACTACTTCAGTGTTTCTTAGCAGTTATTCTTTCATGTAAATACAAGTCAGAATGTTAATGTTGGTAAGAGATTATTATTTAACCTTCAGACCTTATTTCAATTGGCCCAATTGTCTCAGTACTGTCCTGTGCAGCAAAGTTTTCCCTGAGCTCTAATCCAGGGTCTCTTGGGTCACGCTTGGTTGTCACATCTTGGTCCCTTTTAGCCTGGAGCAATTCTTCCATCTGTCCTTCTGTTCTGTGACCCTTCCTGCTCATCCAGCAAGTCGTGCTGCAGAATGTCCGTGGTGTGTCTGTGGTGACCAGGCTGAGCGGTCACCTGCTTTTGTCAGCAATACCCCAGCGCTGGCTCCCCTACACGGCGGGAGGGCGACGGCCCCTGTGCTGGCTCCTCCACCGTAAAGTCGACCATTTTTTCTTTGTGGGGAGAAAATACTAGACTGTG